CCCGGCCATCATGTCTTTCATATCTAGAAATTTTCTATAATTCTTTTAGTAGTGATTTCCTTTCTTCTAATTTCTCTGATTCTGGACTGTTCCTTGAATGTTCTTATTTTTTTTCCTCTATTTTTTTCCTTCTCTACCTCCTTTCTAGGAGGTTCCTGAACTTAATCTTCCAATCTTTTCAAAGTTTTCATTCTGTCAGTTTTGAATTTCTGGTTTGTTTTTGGTTCTTTTCACATTACTTTTTATGGTATCATATTGGTATTTAAAGAGGTTGCAATATCACCTTTTTCCTTACTGAGTAGTCTTTTTTCTTATCTTGGCTTAAGTTTTTGTCTCCTCTAAGTGACCCTTTTTTGTTTGTTTTGATCTCTGTCTTTCATGTGAGAGACCATTCCTCAGATGTCTGGTGATCCTTGGTTGTCTCTTGATCTATAAGAGTGGATAGTAAAAAGGCCTGTTGGGAACCTCTTGTGTCTGTGAGTGCATCTGTCAACTGTGGACTTTGTGGGGTGATCTGGTTGGATGTTTCTTTAGGTCACTCTTGGCATCGGCCATTAGGTCTTTTCTCTTGGGCTGGTGTAACTCCCCAGAGAGGTCTCTTGATTCTTCTGCTTACGGGGTATAAACCTGGTTGCTAGCCTTTTGAATACTAAGGGAAGAGGGCTGGATTCTCAGTATTCAGCATGTAAATGTTCACATTAAACTTTTCTTTTTGGTATTGTAAATCACCCTTAACAGTGCCTGGTTTCTATAGGCTAGAGACTCTGCCATTTCCAGAGAATAAACTTTCAGGTTTCTGTTAATGTATGAGTGGACCAATAGCTCAGCTGTGCAGTGTGGAAGAATCCAGGGATCTGAATGCTTTTTAAACAGACGTTCAACCAGTGCTTTTGTGTTTAGCACCTGCCACTATATGTATCTCCATTTCCAGAAGTATCCAGTCATCAGTTATGAGCCTTTTGGTGTTCATCGGTGAAAAGGTTGCTTCTCAGTTTTTCTTGTGGCAGGCCAAGCTCTGCTTTCTTTGGTCTGCTAAGTCAGTTGTCCTTGTTTGTCTGCTTTCTAGCTTCCAGTGTGTATGCATGTGTATGTGGGTGTTCTGTTTTCTTTCTAGCTCCAATTATCTTTGTGAGTTGAGGCATAAAAGAAAAAAAACTTCAAGATGTCAAGAGGTAATGAAAATGGATGCAACCCATCCTTTAATTTAAAAATACCGATTTAAGAAGGATATGCCTTAAAAAAGTCTCATTCTCATAATACCAAAAAACATGGATCTTTTGACTCATATCTACCCATCTTCCACCTCTTATAATGGAAATTTTTTCACCTTTAGTTTTTTTATGTTTCCTAGCATCTTTGTCTGATTTCTACCTTTTAGTTCTTTTTTTTTTTTGAGACAAGGTCTCACTCTGTTGCCTGGGCTAGAGTGCAGTGATGTCATAGCTCTCTCCAACCTCAGACTCCTGGGCTCAAGAGATCCTCCTCCCTCAGCCTCCCTAGCAGCTGGTACTAGAGGTACATGCCACCACACCTGGCTAATTTGTAAATTTTTTGTAGAGACAGTCTCACTGTGTTGTTCAGGCTGGTCTCAAACTCGTGGTCTCAAGGAATCCTCCTACTTCGGTCTCCCAAAGTGCTAGGATTATAGGCGTGAGCCCCTGTGCCCAGCCTATTTTGTCTTTTTTTGTGTTTGAAGCCTTCCTCAAATCTCTGATCTTTGGTTGTTCATCTTTAACCGTCTTTTATGGTTTTATGGATGGGAGTGAAAGAGGTGAAAGTAAAGAATTGCACTTGGCCTTGGATATGTCCATGGGTAAGTTATGCATGTAGACAACATCTGAAGTGAAGGAAAGGTTGGAAATTACTGCTTTATTGTATATAGCCATCTTGCTAACTCATTTATATATTCTTCATGGTAGTTTGCCTATACTTGGTATCTGGTATATTTGTTGAGTTGAATTTATTTGTACTTTAACAGCCAATATCTTTTCAAGTTTTCCATTCACCTCAGTGCTTTTTTCATTGGAGCTATGGGCTTTCAGAGCTGTGGGCTCTGAGATAATAATAATAATCCCAAAAGAAGTGTATATACCCCAAACTAACTTACTTCCTTTCCTCTCTCCCTTCTTTCCCTTCCTTTCTTCTTTTGACTTTGCAGATTGGCTAAATAGTTCTTTTATAGCTCTTCGAACAATGGAACTTTTGTTTTTTAAAAAAATTCTTGCCTGTTTTCTCTGAATTAAAGAGTCTCTGGTTATCTGTACTGATACATGGAACACCAACCTAAATTATTCTCGTAGAATCATGCAGTGTACTAGATTTAAACCTACTATGTACATATATATATGTATATACTCTTTCTGATTTGTGATGTTCATTCATCCTTTTTTTTTTTTTATAAGGTAAATGGGCAATGTGCTGGCCATACAGCTATGCAAGCTGCTAGTCAGAATGGACATGTTGACATTTTGAAGTTACTTTTGAAGCAAAACGTGGATGTAGAAGCAGAGGTAACTAAACCTAAAAAATATTTTAAGTGAAAATTAATGTCTTAGAAATAATTTCTATACCATGAGAGATGGATTTTTTCATTATTTAAATTTAATATTTACCTAAGGCTTTTCTGATTGAAAATAAAAATTCGACAGGGATAGCTTGAAGTATTTCTTGTTTTCCTGTGATCCCTCAATATTCTAGGCATAGCCCTTAGTGAAGACAGGAGTTGAGTTTCCTGCTGTTGTGGTGGAGCCACCATGTTGTTGGGAGCCAAGTTGGGTTTACCCAGGAATCATCTTAGGGAAGTTGAGGGAAGAGGAATATAGATCTGCTAGGTCTAGGTCTTTCCTGATCTCTGTGACACTCAAGAGGCCTTTTTTGTTGTTTTATAGCAACTGAATTAGCATTTTTTGAGTCTTATTTTTTTCTTTTTCTTTTATTCTGAGAGACTGTGAAAAGAAAAAAGTCTTATTGTTTTTTGACCATAATGTGGATCTTTGAAGAGCTTACAGTTCATGTTTATCACCATATGTGTGTATGTCTGCTTAATTTAATTAAGGACATATTCTTATAAAAGAGAAATAAACATTACTTACTGTCTAATGGTGTCTCAGTTGGGAATTTATACATGTGGTGTGAGGGGTGGCTTAGTTTGTCTTAGTTAACTATAAATTCATTACTAAAAATATATTAGAATCACTTTTTTTTTAGTTTAGTTCACGATTATTTAGGATAAGTAAAATTCTATCAAATTTAAATTAGGAAGAATGTTTTAATTTTGTCCAAAAGATATTCCCATCTGTGGGTGATCAGTAAGAATTTGAATTGCCAAGGGCTAAATTGATGGATCAGGATGGTCTCGAACTCCTGGGCTCAAGTGATCCTACTGCCTCAGCTTCCTGAGTAGCTGTGACTATTGATGTGAGCCACTATGCCCTGCTTAATAAGTCATCTTTGATGTTGGAGTTTTCTCTTGCCTAGAATGAACTTGAATTTTAAATTAGCATATTAAATATCTGTGAACTATATGATAGTTTTCTTATTATGATGTCTTTGTGAATGAGATTTATATAATTTGATTTTGCTTTTGCAGTAGTAATTTTTAAGTTGCATCTTTCTTAGTTATGAATTTAGGATCCCAGTTTGTGTTCATGAAGTTTTTTTGGTAATGAAAGAAAGACTTAATTTTAGTATTTTGTAAATGGAAAGTAATTACTTTATTTCGTTATTGTAGTTTGATTTGGGGGAATGGTGTGAAATTCCCTGAGTTGAATGTCTCACATTTTATTTCATGAATCCAGTTATGACAATAGCAATGACACTGAAAAACCAAAACCCTTCTCCTTATAGCTAATAAGGCAAGAGGCTGAAAAACCAAATTCCTTTTTGCCTAATTTTAATTTTTACTATTTTTTAAAATTTAATAGATTTAGTGAGTACAAGTGGAATTTTGTTACATGGATGTGTTGTATAGTAGGGAAGTCTGGGCTTTGGTGTACCCATCACCTGAATAGTGTACATTGTACCAAATAGGTAATTTTTTATCCCTGATCCTCTCCCAGCCTCTCCTATTCTGAGTCTCCAGTGTTCATTATGTCACTCTGTGTGACCGTGAATACCCATAGCTTAGCTCCCACTTGTAAGTGAAAACATGTGGTATTTGGTTTTTGTTCTAAGTTATTTCACTTAGGATAATGACCTCCAGTTCCATCCAAGTTGCTGCAAAGGACATTATTTCATTCTTTTGTTTGTTTATTTGCTTGTTTGTAAAGATGGGGTCTATCCTCTGTTTCCCAGGCTGCTCTCAAATGATTCTCCCGCCTCGGCCTCCCCAGCCTCCCAGAGTGCTAGGATTATAGACATGAGCCCCAACACCCAGCCTTCTTTCTTTCTTTTTTATGGCTGAGTAGTATTTCATGGTGTGTATGTTGTGTATGTAAATATACACATCACATTTTCTTTATCCAGTCCTTGATAGTTGGGGACTTAGGTTGACACCCTATCTTTGTGATTGTGAATTGTGCTATGATAAACAGACAAGTTAGGTATCTTTTTTTGTTTTGTTTTGTTTTTTTTTTGAGACAGAGTCTCACTGTGTTGCCGGGGCTAGAGTGAGTGCCGTGGCATCAGCCTAGCTCACAGCAACCTCAAACCCCTGGGCTCAAGCGATCCTCCTGCCTCAGCCTCCCGAGTAGCTGGAACTACAGGCACGCACCACCATGCCTGGCTAATTTTTTGTGTACATTTTTAGTTGTCTGATGAATTTCTTCTATTTTATTTTTAGTAGAGACGGGGTCTCGCTCTTGCTCAGGCTGGTCTCGAACTCCTGAGCTCAAACAATCCGCCCTCCTCGGCCTCCCAGAGTGATAGGATTATAGGCGTGTGCCACCACGCCCGGCCTAGGTATCTTTTTAATAGAATGATTTCTCTTCCTTTGGGTAGATACCCAGTAGTGGGATTGCTGGATTGAATGGTGGATCTACTTTTAGTTCTTTGAGAAATCTGTGTACTGATTTCCATAGAGGTTGTACTAATTTACATTCCCACCAACGGTGTATAAGCATTACCTTTTCACCACAACCATGCCAACATATATTGTTTTTTGACTTTTTAATAATGGCCATTCTGACAGGGGTAAGGTGGTATCTCATTGTGGTTTTAATTTGCATTTCTTTGATTAGTGATTTTGAACATTTTTTCATATGTCTGTTGGCCATTCATATATTTGCTTTTGAAAAATGTCTGTTTATGTTATTTACCCATTTTTTAATGGGGTTGTTTATTTGTTTGTTTTTTTGCTGTTTATTTGAGTTCCTTGTAGATTCTGGATATTAGTCCTTTGTGGGATGCATAGCTCATGAACATTTTCTCCATTTCTGTAGGCTGTCTATTCTGTTGATTATTTCTTTTGCTGTGCAGAAGCTTTTTAGTTTAGTTAAATCCCGTTTGTTATTTTTGTTTTTGTTATATTTGCTTTTGAAGTCTTAGTCATAAATTCTACGCCTAGGCCAATGTTCAGAAGAGTTTTTCCTAGGTTTTCTTCTAGTATTTTTATAGTTTCTGGTCTTATATTCAAGTCTTTAATCTATCTTGAATTAACTTTTATATATGGTGAGAGATAGGGAATCCAGTTTCGTTCTTCTG